TGGGTGACAAAACACTACAAAAACTGGTAGCCCCAAGACTTAACACCCAGACCAAGAGTTAGAACAGGAAGATCCACAGAGGAATAACTCTGGGTTTGATTAGTTCGGTGAAATGACGAGGACGAGGAAACTGCATATTCTATTTTTAGCTGAAATTTCAGTAAGCTGAACACTGGTTCAAAACTCACAACGGGCTACCATTTGAAATAGATGGAAATGACATAGTCCAACCCAGAGTTGGGCGAACCGCAACCGACCCAGAGCCAGGAATCACTGAGACAGAAGCCACTGTCGTTTCCTCCTGATTTGGGATGACTTTCGACATCAAAACGTACGAGGGGGTGAAACCTGCACGATCTACACACAGCAGTATCTCTTGACATATTCGAATTGAGTAAGTCGAAGAATCCGGCGGTTGCGTCAACACAAAACAAAATCATGCGTACGGCAGTATAGCATGGATGGGTGTCATATCAAACAACGCCCACATACAATGTCTTCGTTGGTGGATCTCGGCAATCGGACCGGCGAACGTATTTCGATAGAGGCGGTGCAGGGTGCATTCGGAGATACCGCTACTTTGCATGAAAGGAACAAGAAGTGGTGCATTGTTGTTGCTGTCTTACCAATAAGAAAATTCCGATCTCTGCTCAGTAGCTTCACTTTCCGTGCTGGTCCAACTGACGCGGACGCTTTCCGTGCTACATACATGAAAATCAAAGAAACAGGCACCACCCAGAAAACCAACACAACAGCACTGATAGCTTTATATAAGCAGATGCAAGGCCTCAAGAAGCCAGACGTCGCAGGCGATATGTTGGACCAAGGACGAAAGATTGATACCAGTAGAGCTCATCGCTTGCATTCGACACGCACGCGAAGCCAGGCAAAACACAACGATGAGGATCTACCACCCACTACCAGACAACAAATCAAATGACTGTGTCCTTGTACCCCCACCGAGGGATTTGGCCAGGGGGAGGGACTGCTGTTCACGTTTAAAAACAGATTCCGTAGACCTTCGCTCGTAGATCTGTACTCACAAAACATCGTCGTGGCTTTTGGTGACCCACACAGATACCGAAACCCTTTACTCGTCAAGTCAAACACCACCCTCTTCATTTCCCCAATGCCTGGTACACGAGAAGAAGCGAACCCGTGGTGTCCAGGTAAAACAGACCAAACCTAAACAGGCCAACAGTTAATCGATCAATCTGTTTCCGCCCATTCACGGCTGTCCAGCAACATACGCCTTTACTCCCCGGCTCCTGCACGTCTGTCAAAAATCCGATTCTCCCTCGTACACCCCTCCTGCACTTTCATGGCACATGCGCCGGGGGAGAGGCTGGTTGTGGTGTGACCGAACACAATATGAATGTCATGTTTGGTGTGGAACATAACCAATCGACTTAGTGCGAAGCCTGCGCACATACTCACAGGCTAGCTTTTCACACACACCAGGGGCTTTGCCTCGCACACGCCGTTAGCATACAAACAGCAGCAACAGCAGTACTGAGATGTTTTGCAGACGTGCACAAAGTGTGATGGCACAAAGAGCCGCTCGCGAAAGGAATCAACCAAACACCGCAGATGTCCCCTCAACCGAATCGGTTCTCATTTGCACCAGTTGTAATGGCCTGTCCGACTGTCTCTACTGCAGTATCGGAGAAGAGACAAGGACAACTACGCGATACTGTGCCTGAAAGGCGCACGGGGCGAAGGCGACAGCAGCAAATCAAAACCAGCGTGAAGGAGAGCCTTTGGTCCTGGCCTGTGCCCGTCCGTTCGCGTGTACTGCTCGAGGACAAACGCGCACAGCTCGATCGATCAGATCGAAGACGAAGGGGCCGCAGGGAAGGGGTAGACGCGGAGGAATGGTTCACCAACTGCTTTGATTTTCTGCACGATACGATCTACCAGGCAAACAAGAGACCGATCAACCAATATCGTGCTTACTGGTGTTTCAGTTTACACACCACAGCAGGTGCCCACCTCTCTACAAAATTATGTCCCGAGCTGCTTCCTCGTTTCGATCCAGAGACCCTTCGTCACCGTAGCTCTCTAACGAGCGTGTCGTGCTTGTCCTCAGGGCTGTTAGAAAGGCTCACCCATTAGACTACTTCAGCGCTGAGTAGTCCAATGGGTAAGCCTTTCTTACAAGAGATACACTCTCGGCTCGTAGTCGCTGGGATTTAGAAGTAGGGATCTCTGGGGACGGACCCCTCGCCAGGCGCTGCCGGTGCGGCGGCGACATCCGAATCCCCCCCCTCGCCCGCCGGCGGCGGTAGCTCCAGCGGCGGGGTTAGCAACGGCGCGCGGTCGGAGACCCACCCACGTTGTTCGTCATGCACACGGGCCCCGTCGCAAGACTTGAGGACCTTGACCGCCGACTCGTGATGGTTGTCGCCGTTGTTGAGTTAGCACCACAGCACTGCCTGGGGATCCATCTCCGCACGCGCGTTACACACATGTACCCCGGCTGCAAGAACGGGACGATCTGGAGCGGGGGCGGGAGACCGGTGAAGACCTCGTGCGGCGACTTGTACCTGACGTTAGCCTTGGTCGGGGAACAGTTGAAGCCGCCGGCAGCCCAGTGACACGACTCAAGCCAAAGACGCTCGCAAGGGCAGGGCCCATCATGACTGGATATGATGCAGCCGGCGGTGTATGAAGGAATTTCAACAACCGGGAAGGAAGATCGATAGAAGAATATATCTCCTGACCTGTGGTGCTGCTATTATAACTCATGGTACACAGAGTGTGTTGCGTTAGAATCCCATCACATCGGAGTGCTGATCGACTGCTAGCTCTTCCTGTGAGAGTTTTTCTCTTTGTGGGGTTCAACGCGGGTTCCTCACCATGGGAGGTCGCGCTACGTGATACCTAAAGTGTCAGCCACTCCCTCGGTGTGCCTCACATTGTTTCAGCAAATTTCCAATCAATCTGAATGCGCCATCTGGGGCGTTTCGTTGTAGGTGCGCGAATCCATACCGTCCCCCGATTGACTGGAAGCCCTCAGCTCTCTAGCCCCGTTGACTCCCGCAGTAGAGACAGCAGGGAGCGCTCTAACCTTGCCTGCAGAATAGTGGAGCAAGTGGAGGAGATAAACAACGGGAGACGGGCGGGCGCATACAAATTCGACGATCTTGACGTCCTCACCGCGTACGTACCGTGCTGCTGTAGTGCTGCATTTCTTTGTCCGGAAGCTTTTTTTGCAGGGGGGGGCTCTTCGCTAGAAGAGGTATGCACCGTCCAAATATAGCTTCAACAACCAGACCTACCCTGAATTCTCTTGGTACATCCAGCTCAGAGAAATAAATGTGTTCACGGATTCACTGCTGTGCTGTCAGTGGTGGCGGGGTTTGGAGTTTGGAGCCAGTTGGAGAACACAACTCCAAGGCACCTCTGTACCTCTGTGTGTGTCATGGTAGCGTGATACGGAATGGATACCATACCGCCGCGATGCAGTGCGTGACTGCTAGCGTTCGACCCACCTCAGCCCCAATTCACGGTGGTTTCTTGCTTTGGGTGGGTGGTCAACCGCATCCTCACACCAAGCAAGACCAGAGACTGACCCCGACCCACTCCTTCGCAGATTCGGGACGTAACATCTCCGAGAATCGATCTACAGCAGTAGTACCAGATCTCCCAAAATGCGTCTCCCGAGACTGTGAACCGGAGATGTGGTGTTTTCTATGTTCGAATTCTGAGCACCCAAGTGCCTCAAGTGCCTCATCCGTACTCCTGAGAGAAATGACGGCAACGACGGGCACAACAACGCCAGATGCGGCAGAAACAACTCCATCTTTGCCGGTAAACGGAGAATTCATGTGATGGCGTGTTTGGCAGCAAAGATATGTAGTGGGCGTATACGACACCAGTACAGCAGCAGCAGTCTATGTTTTGTCTAGAAGGTGCTATTTACTGCTACAGCAGTATCAAGTAATCAATCAGTGTACCAGCTTCGCTCGTAGTATTATAGCAGTACTCTCTGTGTACCTTGGCGTAGCCGTAACGCATGTGTGTGTACCCTAGACTATGTAACTTACCTCCCGTAGGCCCAATTTGTACAAGCGAAGAGATTCAAACAAAGCTAGGTGTTGACGCCCGATTGTCCAACAACGGATTGCTTTCCATTTGCACTACAATCCACTGCTTGCCGCTGCTGTACTGTAGGTTCATCATTCAAAATCTTGGGGGGCCCGTACAGGCGACGCGGGTAGGGTGTTGTTGACATTGAGAGAGAGGATGGCCCATGCGGAAGAAATGGGGGAGGGTTTGGTCTAGATGCTCGACTCCTTCTGTCGGTACCGCTGCAGCCCGCAGGCGCAGAAGGCGTTCCGGCGATTCTGATGCTTTGCTGTCCCGCGCTGGACACAAGAAGCAAAACGTGCTGCATACCGTACTACACCTATAACACCAGTGGCTTCTTCCCAGATCGCTATCTGTCTCTCGCTCGGTGCATGTTACGGCGAGAAAGAGAGGCTTGCAGCCCCGAAAGCAGCGGTTACATGCGTTTCCATTCGATTTCCGTGTATCGGGATTCTTGAGCAACACCACTGCTGTACGCGGCTGTGGGTATGAGAGTCGCGAGCAACATTGGGGCGGAGGGTGTTTATTCTCATCCAGCATCATTGCCCTGCATTCATGTGGTTGGTACATTCTGCGCAACCCTCGCCGAACAAAGCGCCGAGTGACTTTCCGCTAAATAGAGACACCGCGCATATGCCAGCGCTCTAAAACGTTTGCGTTGCCTCGTTACGTATGTGGATCGTTTCTTTCTTGACGCCACCGGGGGGCGCGCTCCTAGAAATGGGCGCAGGTTGAATCTTGTACTCGTGCTGCAAAGGTCCTCAACTGCTGCTGTCGGCGATGACAGGAAAATGCGTTAAAAGTATGTACTTTCCCTGCTGCTGCTGCCGCCGCTGCTGCTGCTGCTGCTGATGCTGCTGCTGCTGATGATGCTGCTGATGCTGATTGTTGGTGCCGGTGGACACGGGATGCAGAACACCGCCACCGCCTCAGGGGGGGGAACAGCCTTCCGATTTGCTGACGGCGCAGCGAAGTGGACGGTGAGATGCACTGATATTACGTACGGCAGCAGACTTTCACCGGCAATCTGATGGATGGGAGGAGGTTTCGTCGTAGAACTGATGGCCGGATGACCCTACTTGAGGCTCCGAACACAAGTCACAAGCAGTGCCCTCGTTCTGGGGTTTGTTCCTCATGCTTTGACCCTTCTGGCGTTCACCTATGGAACATGCTCCCTACCCTTCAAAGGAGAGAAACGAGTTTGCCGTGGCCACGCCCTGATCCGGAGGAAGAATAGACTCCGAAGTAATTTCAAAGGCTCAGAGTGAGTCCTCACCAACCACCCCGAAAAACAAGTTATTCATCGAACGGCAAGAAGCAGGGTAGGGCAAGGCACAGCCGAATAGAACCAACACACAAAGCAGGAGCACTTTGCTCCGCTCGGAAGCTGAGTCGGGAAAAGGCACTCCGTCGGTACCCACAAGAGAATAGTGTTCAGTAAATACCCTGAAGCAGGGTAAGGTCTCCTCGCAACCCTTTGCATGACCCGGCAGCGCTCGTCGTCGGGGAGGGTGTGCCTTCCAGGTCAAGCTCGTTCCGTGGTCTGTGGGCCTTGTCGCCGGAAAATCCAATCGAAAATTCGAACACCGAAAAGCGAGAATCAAGCATGCCGCTGATTGGACAACCTGCCAGCTGCTGCCAGCGGATCTTGGAAATATTTTGGTGCTTGTCTCGGTACGGGAAAATCGAGAGCGAATTATGAGCGCGCGGCTCAGCAAGTATAGGCGAGAAAACGTCCCTTCGTGTTGAAGGCGACGACGTTTTCGAGACTTGTGTTTCACACCAAGAGCGTTCGATCACGAGTTGCTCGCTGAGTGCACAGCGTATCGATGCGAGCCCAACATTTTTCGACGGAAGCTTCTTCGGCACACACCCTCTCACGCCTCTTTTCTGGGGGTGGACAGGCAACAACGGCACTTGTAGGCCGGTCTACGGAGATACCGCGCTCTCGTTTGGGCGACGCCTGCTGAGGAGGGCACCGCATGACCTCGCGCCATTGACCCGAGTTTTGTAGCGGCCGGCTAGGTTGGCACGTCTTTCTGAAGTCGACCGCTTGTTGCACCGGGAGCGTTTGCAACAAGCTTCCCCCTTTCGGCATCGGCCTGGAACTCTCACGGGCAGTCTATCCGTAATTCATTCTACACCATCTCCGCAATTTTTCTATCGGCACACAGTACGCCACGGTCAACACCCGACGAAACTTGAGAAGCACCTGTCAAGCCGGTCTCCTCCGCCCCTCCCACGTATTTTCGCAGTTGTGGCAGCTATGCGACTCAGGCTTGCCCACCGGCGGCTTTGCGCACTCCGGGGGGCTGGAGGCAGCGGCAGCGCAGGGGATCGTCAGAGCTAAGCATACCGGGAGCCTTCTCCGGTACGTGTTGATAGTCTCCACATTTTACTGTTGTCATCGTCGTCTTCGTTGTCGTTTGTGTTGGCATCCTTGACGGCACCTCGAAACGCAGCCCCTCGGCGAAATCACACTAACACACACACACAATGGTCTAACAACTTGACACGGCATGCATCACATGAGAGGGCACGGCATGCCACACATGAGAGGGCGCGGCATGCAAGGCATGAGAGGGAGCTCCCCGACGAAAGCACCCCCCCCCCCCCCCCCTGGGCAATGGTCTAGCAATAAACTGAAAAAGGCACGCAGAAAAAGAACATGAGAGTACATCCCTCCCACCCCTCTCTCGCTAGCTGTACAAGGGCCGGGCCGTAAGCAGCGAGAACATCGCTGTCCCTGCGGCATATCAACCCCAACACAACAGAGACAACTCAAGCTGACCCGCTGCTTCCTTCCGCTCGCTTTGACGGTTACGCACGCGCGGCGGGCTCAGGTTTGTCCGCGGCGCCTTGGCCAACGCCGCCTCCTTGCAACTCCCGTTGCTGCGGGAAGCGCGGAGGGCGCGCACGCTGGAAGCTTGGTTGGAGGTTGACTCCGTTGCTCACGCCTGCATCACGGCGGAGGTGGGCGTTGAGATTTATTTTTCCTTGTTCCCCCCCCACGTTTCGTTTTTTGTTTTTGTGTTTCTGGTGCGAAGCAACACCTTTTCGCCAGACATCCAGGTTGTCTTTAAGGATATATTCATAATATCAAAGGAAGACTATCCGTTCGGGACAATGTCGCAGCAGTCGAAGGGGATGTGATGAAAGTCTGTTCAGTGAACGGGGGAAGTGCCTGCTGGACAATTAGCTTCTTTTGAGTCATTTTTTTTGCTTCTCGTAGAGAATATGCATACCAACACAGGAAGACCATCCGTTGGAGACACAGCCACAGTCGAAGGAGATGTGTTGAAGTCTTTGCCGCGAATGGAGAAAAATCCTGCTGGTTGTTATTTTGTTTTTTTTAGTCTGTTTAAGGCCATACACTGCTTTTTTAAACAAATTCCTTTTAGTGCAAAGTTTACACACAACGCCGACGCTGGGGTATCCGCAAGCTTTGTCGGGTATTCGAACAGTCGATCTTCCTTTGTGGCTTTCTGCCCCCAGGCGGCGAGGAGGGCCTCTCTGGCGCAGGGGGCGGGGCTCCTTCGGGCGGCTCAGGCAATGTTCCCCCTCGGGGAAGAATGCGGCGCAATTATCAGCGAGTTCCGGGCTTTGGTCCGACGGGGAGGATCAGCCGCATTCTCCGAAGGTGCTGCTGCTACATACATGCGCGCAATAGTTGCGCAAAATGACGGTGAAGAAAGTACATGGTTCCTCCTACAAAGTGCGGCGGAATCGACGTTTCTCGAGTGAACGGCTGCCCAAACGACCACGTCTCACGCAGACAACAGTCGCAGCTTCTCGGCGTCAGGTTCAGGTTGAGACACTTCTCTTGTTTGTATGTCTGGGCAAGGGCTTGATTGAAGGCACCTCGTTTCTTCGTCTCTTGGCCTGCGGCACAGGAAACTCTCCTTCCTCTGTCTTGGGACGGCTCTTGTTCTTTGTCGATCACGGACACAAAACTATCTTATGCACAGCCTCTCTCTAGCAGTGCCTCGTTTGTCATCCGATAGAGGTACCAAGGCTGAAAAACGCAGGAAGGAGATTCAGCAACAGCTCCAACTGGGTGCAAAATGGTAGTTGCTGTTGTAGTACTGTAGTAGAAATTGTTGTTGTTGGTATCGTTGTAGTACGAGAAATTGTTGATGTTGTTGTCTCTGCAATAAAAAAAAGGTTCCGATACTGGTCCAACTGAAGCGGACGCGTGTTCCGTGGTCACATGCTTAGTATCCCCAAGGGTAGAAGCTTGGACGAATCAACTCTACACCCACAAAGCTCAGGGGCAGGATTGCTGCTTCCTCTGAACCGTGCTGCACGCTAAGCCTTTCTCCTTTCCCTACACGGCAATATTTCCAAATCCCTTCATCTAGCCGGCGGGGGCGGCGGCGATCAGGCAACGAGCGAGGGAAAAAGCGGCCGAAATGGGACGGAGAAATCTCGTGCCAGTAAGAAGAAGGCTGGCGCGGCGTCGGCGCTCGTGACCGCTAGGGGACACCACTCTCCGGCCTTCGGAGTGGTGTGCGGGGCTCTCGGCATCGAGGAGGACGAGGCGGCGCGGGCCTTCATGTTCCTCGTGGCCAGAGACGTCTTGTCCGCGGCGACGAGGTGTGTTGTGTAACGTTGTTGTTGTTGCTGTTGGCGTTGTTGTTGTTGCTGTTGTTGGCGTTGTTGTTGTTGTTGCTGTTGGCGGTGTTGTTGTTGTTGCTGTTGGCGGTGTTGTTGTTGTTGTTGTTGTTGGCGTTGTAGTTGTTGCCGTTGTCTTAACGTTGAACACCGTTCCGGTCTCTGCAAAGTACCGTTTAGTATCCGTACCGGCGACTCGGACGCCTTCCACGGTCATAGGCCAAACTATCCGGAAAAGGGGGAAAAGGGGTACACCACACACTTGGAATAAAATCAAAAGGATAATACGTACTGCTATGGACTGGCAATAAACCATCAACTGCGGTAACAGTCATGGAAGAACGACACCCCAGAAGCAAGCCTCAAGCCAGTCCGGGGAGTTAGCTCGCCCACGGGGGAGCCGCAAAAAAAATTAGACGGGGAGGGTAGGCCTCCCGGAACAGCTAACACGCCTTTCAAACAAGAAGCTACCAACACGGCTCCTCCTCGACTATCAAATGTCCGCATGCCTGTGTGCGTGTCCTCCAAATACACTTACTTTTCACGTTTTTTCAGGAATTTTGCGTTTTGCGTGTGACAAAGCTGTGCAACCCGGAGTTGTTTTTCAGCGGGTTTCCGTGGATGTTTTCGGGGGGGGGGTTATATATAATTATGTCGGGTTTCTCGTTCGTTGCTTGTTAAAAACACGCACACACCGGACGACCATTTTCTTTTTTCTGTTTTTTTGGAAGGTTGTCCTTGATAGGCCCGCTGGAGGCGGGCAGGCTCGTCAGCAACCTCTCCGGGTACGTTGAAACCCTGCTAAGGGTGGGAGATGTCGGAGATGTCGGAGATGTCGGAGATCCGACGGGGGGGGGCAGTGGCAGAGACGACGACAGCACTGAAGAAGGAACGGATGCGCCGGGGCGGTTATTGTCAGAAGAGTGGGGCGGGGGAGGCGGGGTCGCTGGCCGCGTCTGTCAGGTGGGAGGTATCTTGTGTTGCTACTGCTGTTCTGTCTGGTGCGTGCTCGTGTTTTGAACTCTGTCGCGTGAGACTGTTGTGTTGGTTGTGTCGATGTCAAACCGCTGGGCTGTTTGGTTTGGCGGAGGTACGTGTGTGTGAAGTTAGTTGTGTGTTGTTTGTCTTCACATGAAACCCGTTCTGTGTGTGTTTTTATTGACATCGACCGCGCCAACCGGCTGATCAACGAAAACACGTCAGTCTCAGTGCGGTTGAAAACACAAAACGCTTTTTAAATGTATCTCCAGTGTGTGTATGTGTACCGAACTGCTTATTTAGTCCCTGGGGAGACAACCATATCGTTCGTGTCGCCTAAACATCTGTTGTGCGCGTAAACCACGCACAGTAGTAATTGTACCAATCTGGTCTGCTACAATAAATAGTGCAGGCACGGAGCCAAAGGCAATGTCGCGGCCATGCATGGTACCGACTATGGCCACGCCTGTCTCCCCCCTCTCCCCTCCCGTTCCAGGTCGACCCGGTGCAAGACATCGTGCAGGGGTTGCACGACAGGCTGTACTCACGCATGTTCAACAGCTAGCTGAAAGAGCGGCAGGGAACGTCGCCCGTCGTGTGTTGCTAAGTTTGGTTTGTTCGCTTCTTCAGCTTCGGGTGATGGAGGGAGATGGTTCTTCGGTGTCTCTTCAGGCGTATATTGTACCCTTTCGGGGTTGCCCATCGCTGACGATGTGTGTAAGGTTGAGCTTTTCGGGACGCGTTGTCGAGGGGGGAAAAGTGTCGAGAGAGGTGGCTTTGATCGCTCGCCCCCCCCCCCCCC